TCTCTCTCTCTCTCTCTCTCTCTCTCTCTCTCTCTCTCTCTCTCTCTCCCTTAGGGTATATTGACACTAGCCTAAGTACTTTCTGTAAGTTTCTCGACTCCACTCTGGACGACCTGGACGTGATTACAGTCAGATGCATACAGGTGTGGTTGTCATTGCAGTGAGATGCATCGAGGGATTTTGAAGTGGGCTCCTGCGAGAACGGCCTTGATCAGCTTTCTGGCATTATACTGTTTTTTTTTCTTTTTTCTTTCTTAATACACATTGCACACCCAGGTGCCCCATCTATTCTGGAGGGCGACAGTCCTTTTGCTTATTACCGGCTAGCAGAAGAAAAAAAAAAACTTTCTGTATTTCTCATAACTGTTACAGTGTGTCCCCAAATCTTGCAGCTCCAAATCTACAACCCTCTCGACTTCAGAATCTCCTACGCCCGCTAGTGCTACCCCTGTGATTCATAAAGTCTTTCAGAAAATTCGTCTCAACGTTGAGCGAGCAGAATGTTTCACAGGGAAGGTTCCCCGGTGCACCAGAGCATTCTCCGCGAATTTTGAATTTGGGAGGTCAGGACCTGTTGCTGAACGAAATTAAAGTTAAAGGTGGCCCTGCCCCCCAAATGTTGTGGCACACGCTGTGTCAGGCAAAAAATTTGCCTCTTGTTTTTCAGATTGGCTTAATATCCACAAAAGGTTTCTTAAGTTTGCTGAATCCTTTGCCGCCCGAACAAGGAGGAGGAGGAGGAGGAGGAGGGGGAGGAGGAGGAGTAGGAGCTGAAGTAGGCCCTGGAGGAGAAAGAAGAAGCCTGTTGAGAAGTCTTTAAAACACACACACACACACACACACACACACACACACACACACACACACACACACACACACACACACTTCCCTTTTACTCTGCCTCCTGAAATAACGTGCAAGTGGGCCGTGAAGGCACACGCGGATGTGGGCAGCTGCCGCTCAACCACAATCAACGTGGGCAGCCTTGCGCGTAAGAGGCACAGTAAAAGGGGAGCTGCAAGAGCAATGAAAGGGGTACCCCAAGAACAACCAAAAAACTGTCTAATTATAAAATTGCTTTAATATGTTGGACATCTCAAATGCTCTCGTTGTCTCCAATAGGACAAAGACTGCTTTGATTCTGAATCTATTCGCCTGGGTGGAATTGGGGCTGTTCTGGGGAAAATCTAAATCACACACACACACACACACACACACACTGTCTGACTCTCTCTCTCTCTCTCTCTCTCTCTCTCTCTCTCTCTCTCTCTCTCTCTCTCTCTCTCTCTCTCTCCTCTTTTCTATTCTGGGGGGTGTCAGTCCGGTTGCCTATCCCCCGGGCCGGCAAGCAGACAAATACAACGGCTGAGACACAGTGGTGCGGGAAGATGGTATCACATGGCTGGCCAACCGGGAGACTCCCCTTGGTTTGTTGAGAAACACAGCCTTCCCCCTTGTCCCCACCTCTGCCCTCCTCACTGCCAGACTCGCCTCCACCTCACGGTTCTGCCTCCTTTTCCATTCTGGGAAGCATCAGTCTGCTTCCTATTTCACAGGCAAGTCAGAAGAGGTTACATTGTCAAAAGATACTCACACAGGCTCCTCCGCACTTATACGGATGAGAGGCCCCAGTGGATTGTATTGATTACTTCCCGAGCAAAGGATGTACCACCTCTCACCCCCAATGAAACCGTATGAGCGCGCTTAAAGACCCCTGCGCCGCGCTCAAACGGGCTCAAAGCGTTTTAAGGCACGCGCATGTCAAAACATCAGTGCGCGCGCACCATGGGGTTGCGCATAGGCAGGGGATGTCGTGGGGGGTGTTGCGCATTAAAAAAAAGTTGGGTGGTTGGGGGTGATTTTGGGGGGGGTGGGGGGTGGTGGGGGAGGTGGTGACTCTCTCTCTCTCTCTCTCTCTCTCTCTCTCTCTCTCTCTGTGTGTGTGTGTGTGTGTGTGTGTGTGTGTGTGTGTGTGTG